TTAAAGGGAATCCTTGATGTTGGTGTCCCAAAACATTTTTTCAGCTTTCATATAATATGATGTCACAGATCCTCAGTAGGTACAGCCACATTCATTCAGCTGAAACTCAGGTGGGATACCCCTAGACAATCTGAAGATAACTGGATGATTTGTGTGGGCAGCTGGTTCAAGTCCAAGCAGTATTTATCCAAAAACACTCATTTAAAATATGTCAAATGAACCACTGTTGAAAAGTGCCTGTTTCTCTCCACTGCATATAAATAGAGCATGGGATAACCAGCTACCTAGCAGTAATCTAAAATGAAATAATGCCAATCCAACTCAGTTCCTTATGTTTTTACTCTTCTCATCCTCACTGTAAAGTGTGATGGAATTGCTTTATAGGCAATGCCAAGTCACTCCACTTTTCTCTCTTAGGTAGCTAATCTAGAATGGGGAAGAATTACATATTCTTTTTACTGAAGAAGCCTGTGGGATGAAGCCAGGAACAGGAGCTTTGTGTGTAACAAGCCAAAAGCTTCACTTGTGTCCTGTCCTGATGCAGTGACAGCTGTGGAAAGTAGCCCTGTGAGAAAGTAGAAAACCAAGCCTTGAAAGATCTGCATACATTATTCATAGATTCTAAAGCCAGGAGGAGATGTGAATGATTTTTCTAACCTTACTTTATGCATAAAAAAGTCCATAGGATTATCTTGATTGACCGATCCTCTTTGCATCCCAGCCATCATTTCTTGGGCTGATATATGTGACTCATTTTTCCAATACCTTCCAGCCAGCCCAGGATGCTCTACTTGCCCCTGTCCCATTTATCAGTCCTTTTTAAAAAAACAGACTCTGGTTTGAAGGGAAATACAGACCAAATTTTGGTGTTACTTTTTTCCATCCTTCTCTTGGAATGGGTTTCTCTTCGTTTTTCAGGCAAATTTATTTTCTTTTAAAATTTTTTTCCCTCCTCGTGAACTTCTAAAGTGTAGTATTCAATGACACTGGTGCTGTAAAGATGAAACCAAGAGGAAATCAAATTAATGGACTAGGCCCGTTCAGGGAGGAAAAGCTCACTGAGGCAGAGAGATGAGTCTTTAATGCCTGTCTCAAAAAGTCCTCAGAGTTGCCTGTTGCTGAAAGCTAAGACTGTACTTGGGCTGTGTCATTGACTATTTGTCCTCACACTCTTTCTTTACATATCAGGGTATTCATGGTGATCAGATGTCTGGGTATCAGGTCTGACATTTGTCCTTAGGTGACTACCAGGGCTTTAAAAGGCATTTTAAATTCATTTATTAAATGTTAAAAAAGTTGAATTGTGTGAGTAAACGTCAGATCTGGAGTTTGGGCCACTTTAAACTTGACACTCTCCCTAAAAATCCAGAGGAGTTTAGATCCAGGTTTGCTTTTTACAGAATAGCCATTTGTGAAGATCAGAACAGAAAATAAAATTCCCGGGTCTGAGTTTGTTTCCACAGTTAGGTAAGGTGGATTTGGGGATCAGTGTTTCTGGAGCCTTGAGTGAGCAGTGGGACAGATTTTCTGTAAATTACAGTTATTAATGCAGCACCAAAGTGCCAATGGGTTAATGCAATCAACCATTAGACAAAGAAGTGGTCATATGTTCCTTCATGCTTTTCTAAAAATCAGCGTGACTTTGTGTTCACAGCTGGTCCACTGGGAAACGTTAAGACTATGAAGATAGGATTTATTTAATCTAACTCAAGGAAGAGGTCTTTTTGCCTAAACATAGGTGCATGGTACCTTTTCAGATGCTCTGTCAGCCCCACATGGGTCTGGCAGAGATGATACAGATCCTCTAGAAAGCCCATGCAGTTCTGAAGTAGTAGTTTGAGGTCAGGCAGGACACACCATGGCACCAAAAACGGCTCTCAGTGACTGTGTTTAGACAACTAAATGCAACCCTGTAATACAGCCCTATAATATAAGCCCTCCTAACAGATCTGTCTATTCATAAAGTCACATAAAGAGGCTCTTTAAAGTGGGGAGAGTTATCTCATGCTGAAGTAAACATTTCAGACAGGAGGAACTAAAATGTAAAAGTAGCTATTTTTCTCCATCAGTTATTAAAGGAGATGGCAGTAGTTAACTCAGGGGTAGAAATCTACCTTAGTCCTCTTTACAAGAGTACTCAGTTTTATTGCAGTCATGAGACCTAAAGCATCCTCTCCAGAATCTGAAAAATTGCACAGCAAAGGAGAACTTTGGGAGAAAGTTAGAAGGAAACCAGTATAACAATAAAATGTTTGCATGACCATCCACCTTGTTGACAAGTACATGACTACAGACATTAATGGAAGGGGCAGGGTCACTCTGAAAAGCAGACTTGAGATTATTGAGTACAGCCCTGGGTGGATTCTAGTGTCTGTCTTCAGATCCACTGACTTGAACACTGCCCAGGTGACTAAGGATATGCAGCATATTCAATGCAGGAACTAGGAAAAGGACTCAGGGTGAGTGGCCAATGCCTCTGTTCTGGCCTTAATGTTCCTCTCTCCTATAAAATATTATAGAAATAACATCCCTAGCAGGCTTTCCTCTGATACCTGGGAAGCTTGTTTGCCTTCCTGTTGCTGCTGTAGTTGTGGTCTCTTGCCAGCCCTGTGTCACATGTACCAGTGCCAACAAGCCCTAGCTTTGCAAGAGAACCTCAAATGCTACTGCGGTCTGTGCTTGGGTGGCTGAATTGTCTCCCTGAATGTGGCCTCCATTGGGATGCTCAACTTTTGGTGGTACCCAACAGACAGTGAGCTTCAACTGAGACAGTCGATATTACTGCTGCCAGCCAGATGAGCAAGCCAGCTGTGACCAGGGATCAGTGCAAACATACATGAAAGTCTAGGTGAGAAGTATTAATACATCCTTTCTGTATGTCATCACTGGTTTCTTTCTGTAACCCTTGGATAGGGGGAACTTAGAGGAAAGAGTGTGAGAATTAAAAAAAAAATATTTATATAGACTAAGAGTATTTCTAGTGAAGTAACTCCCAAACTTTTCAGCTAGCAATTCTCCTTCTGGACTGATGAATCACAATTCTGCAATTTAATTTCAGAGAAGATCAAAATTCCTAATTTTTCTGATGCAGCCTGTGGCAATTTGAATTTCCAGTTCCCTGCTGTCACATCAAAGTAGGACTCATGGAACTTGAAATGCTTTCTCTAGTCTAGTTCATCATGTTAATCCCACGTGACTAGTCCTGCTTATATTTGGAATTTGCCCTTGCCTAAGAGTCTATAATTCCATCTGGCACCTTCCATTATGATTGCAAAAGTGACAAGTTTTGGATTGGTGCCTTTTTTGCATCCTTAATAGAAGTAACCCAAACCTGCCTCTGAGCTGATGAACCTCAAGGTTTGGTAGCAGAATTTCAGAGGCAGAAGTTTTCTTTCTGTGGGTGAAGGACATCCTCATCCACCTCCCCCTCAGTAGAGACTGCCCAAACATTTCTACTTCTGTTATTGAGGAATAGTGCAGTCACCAATGTGAGGAGTTTAAGATTCAAGTCAAACCAGTGATACGAACTTTCTTTGTCTCTGAAAAAATAAGTGAGAACAAGTTGACTTCAAGCTCTCAAATATGACAAAGACAATTCTAGCAAGAACAAATATACAAACCGCACTGTTTTATTTATTTATTATACTCCCTAAGACCCTGCTCTGCTAAGAAAATAATTTCAAAAACTGTCACGTTAACTCCTAGAGCAGCCTTTTTGTATCGCACATAGTAAGTGTTTAATGTATATGATTCCAAACACTGCCAGTCTCCCAGTGTCTATTCAGGTGCTTATTGCACCATTTCTTATAAACAGTGATACAGTAGCTTCAGGGAATGATATGACGGATGCCAAGATAATGTAATCATTGAAATATACCACATTACACAGAAAGAAAAAAAAAAAAAAAAGGCATATTTTGAGAACACCTTTAAATTGGCAGCTCTGCTACAACGTTCATAGATAGTTGGAAGTCAGTCACAGAATTGTTCCATTCATAGACTGCAAAATGGCAAGAGCCCTGGGACTCTGCAAATGCGTGTGAGATAAATATCTTTTCACAAGCTTAGGCTGTGACCTCAGCAGTCCTGAGATAAATAACAGTTCTGTAGTTCTAACAGTGTACATCGTCAACAATTTTGAGACAGATCAGTATGGTGTAAGCTACCCAACTTTATGTGTTGAAAGCAACCCAGAAGTTGCTTCTAGGTGCCAAATCCTTCTGCTGATTACAGTCTACAATTCAGAATCTTCTTTTCAGGGTTTTTTTTTCTTTCCTGTTTACACTGAGAAGAAACTTATGTAAGAAACTTGCTAGCAGATGCTACAACAACAGTAATTAGAGCTCATCTCAATTCTCAGTGGTGAGATTGCAACAGAAATAATAATTACTTAGCTCAGCAGATTAAAAAGGGAAGTAGCAAATCCATCATCTCACCTTTAAAGACGGTGCAAAAAAAAAAAAAAAAAATGAGCGCTTTTCAGGTATGATTCTTCTGCTTTGTTTTGTGACTAGCTCACATTCAGATCTCTGCAATGCAGCCTTGTCCTTTGGGCCTGGAGAGCCCTACCCAACCTCTGCGCTGCTGTGGGATGGGAGGAGGGTTTCGAACGCCCGCCGTGTCAGCAGAGCACACTGCTGCCCCGTACGCTGTGCGGGGAGCCTGGGATCAGCTCAGCCAGAGACAGCCAAACAAATCCCACCCTTAGTTCCTTGTGGCACCCAGGAAAGGAGTAAAAGGGAGTAAAAAAAAGTTCCTTTCTGGGATTATTAATTTTGTATTCCATTTTCATTGCTGTTTTGAAAACATTAATAGCTGTTGGATATGTGCTGCATAATCTGATATTTTTAGTAAACTTCTGAGTCTGTTGTAATAAATGGTAAAACCTGTTTTCAATCAGATTGGAACTGCAAAATGTAGCTTTTAAGGTGTAGCACATCCTTTAAGCCATTATTTGACTCACTGATCTTGGTTTTGACTCTCTCTTCCTTCTATTTCAGATAAATTTTGTATTTCTATTTAACATAGTTAGGATTTTAATGACAAAGCTGAGAGCGTCAACCACTTCAGAAACAATACAGTACAGGTAAGTCAGCTGGTGCTTCTTGCTGATTTTGATGTTAACAAAGAACTGCCTTGCCTGGTCCATCCTTGTCCCATTTTGTCTTTCCAGATGACACTGTTGATCTCAGAGGGTCTTTCTTGCCCCCAGAGCTCATACAGTCAGGTACATACACGGTATTTATTTTTGCAGGCTATCTGTAAAAACATGCCTGCATTTTTTCTGTCCGCCCCATTTCAATGTCCAAACAATGCAAACAGCCCAGGCTTACAGGCACAGACACGTGCACTGCTGCAGCCACCAGCCTCTTTACCTCCTTCAGGTTTGCACATGCCCAACACATAAATGAAATTTCCCTCTTCTAATGAAATCTGAAGGATTCGATTACAAGTGATGATAGGAAATTTATCAATTTCTATATGTACACAAGCATATGTATTATATTATATAAAAATATCATAAGTCCTTTCACTGATGACTAGACCATTCATTCAGCTAAACTGGGGAATCAGTGAAAAACTGTTCAGGCCCTGCTGGGTTGCTCCTCTGTCCCAGTCTCCTGTTTTGTAGATGCAGAACAATACAATATCAAGACTTCCCAATAAACCATGTGCATATGCATGTTAAGATCCTTGTCCATACTAATATGCTAGCAGAGCCAGAAGTAAAAGAAGAACAGAGCCTGGGCCGAACACTCCTAACATATCTGTAATCATTAGCAGTATCATTCCTGATGATTACAGTGTACATACAGGTACTTACAGTAGGGATTAATGTTCTTTTTAAAGTATAGGGTATGGGAATGAAGGACGATTGTGCCCCTTCCCTTCAGCTGGTACCAGCATTAGTGTAACCACTCGGTGGGTTGCATCGTGGAACTGATCCTCAACTAATCATTACCTTTACATGGGTTGGCTTCTTGGGTAGATCAGTTCCCCTAGCTGGTTCACCCTCACAAGCACTAATGTGGCAGAAAGGAGAAGACAGGAATGTTTAGCCCCAGGCAGCAGAATGAAGGTGGCCTGGACCCTTCCAGAAGCAGTGTGAACTTAGATCAGTCTAAACAGTCTAAAAGCAAATTCTTAGAGATCAGGAAATGCTGAGTGCCCTTCCTCTCTTACCATTTGTAGTATCTTGCAAGATTGTTGGAGCATTTAGGGAGACAGGTCCTTACACTGGGAAATAGCACAGGTTTTGTCGGGTAGGATTGGTCACAATTCTCTAAATCATTTCTAGATAAAATTTTAGTGTATCAAGCTGAAGCTTGAATCTTGATGTCCTCAAATCAGCCTGCTCTTAGCTTTGGAGGCAGTTTTGCTGCAGTAATGGGGTTTTGTTGTTTTGCCTGATTCCTTCCTTTTAATCCTGTCCAGGTTTTGGGGACAAATGCCAAGCTAATGATGTGGTTGATTTTCTTGTTCAGACACTTCTCTGCACATTTCCTGAAATATGAAGGGGAAAAATACCCCTTTTTCATGCTCGAAACTCATGCATAAAACTAAAACTAGAATGAAAAGACATGGATACAAATCTCAGTGCATTTTTCTCCCTGTCACAGTTTTCAGGGAGCATTAGATATATTAGATTCTGAGGCAAACTAAAGTAACTGCCTTCACCCTTGAACAGATGACGGTGATCTTATCCTCGCTACAAGCCCTGTGAGGGAATCTTCTTTTTCACAGCCTAAATAGAAACCCTTGTAATTCCAGGAAAGCCTGAGGCAAGCCTTGCTGTTCTAGAGCTGAGTAGTCCAAACATTTGTTAATCAAATATTAAATGATATGGCAGCTACTTTAAGACTGTCGTTCTGTCCTGACATTAGCAGTGTTCTTGTGCTTCCTGCCTGCCTACCTGGTTGTCTTTATCTACCTATTACGGTATTATACAGAAATTTATACAGACTCTAGCAAATTTACAGTCTTCTGCATTTGTACAGTATCTAACACGAGTGCTGTTCTGCAACTGACATCCCAAGATGCTATTATAGCACCAATAATAAAGATTAACCCCTAACAGTTCTCTTAATAATCACTTATGCTTCATTGATCACCAACTGCTTGTTTATTATTTATAAGACAGCCCTAAACAATTGTATTGGGTGTGCAGGTGTTGCAGAGAGAGAGCATTTATACTCCAGACAGAATCTAAAGATGGGAGTAGAGCAAGCCTCATGGGCACATCATGGTCAGCAGTTAAATTATGCACTTACATATCACCCTGAGGTGTAAGAAACCAGTCACCTGGGCTGCAGAGAATCTCAAGGATCCAGCCTAATGCAAGCCTCATTGATAGATCATAAACTGTCTGGAGGAAGGAGAGAAAGGGAGGTATGTAAAAAGGGTTTGTCCTCTGGAGTTCAGGGTGTGGGAACAAACAGCAGGATTCAAAGGCAAACATTTTCCCAGAACACATTTCTCCAAGTGGTCAGAAAGTTTTAACTAGCAAACTCACCTGTGGCTTCACAACCCAACGTGGAAGCTGTCTTTCTTTCCATGCTCCACTTCTAGTCTTTATCCACATTTTCAGATATGGAATCCCATGGACTCCCTCTCAAAATATCTTCTCCCAAGCCCTAAGAAACTTGTGTTTTTCATTGCCTGAGGACCCTAGGAGATTTCATCTTGGGTTACACAATAAGCTGGTCACAAACTTGGGACTGTTCCTGTGCAGGCAGGCTGAGAAGTGTCTAAAACTTGGATGTCCTCCTGGGACAAAGCTCAAATTATTTGGCCATTGTGCAAATATAGGCTACCACTGCTACCGTCAACAAATGCTCTAGCAGCATGCCTCAAGAGATGGAGGGAGGTGCCCACAGGGAGTACTTGTGTTCCCTAACTTCATTCATTCGTGTTAGACACTGGACAGAAGTTGACATGTGAATTTCTCTCTTAAAATGCTTCTTTCCTCCAGTGACTGTACATACGGGACAGTCCTGAGGAGACGTGTCTTGGGCCATCCTTTTGCTTTCTTCTCAACCTGTTTGACATGTGCAGATGCTGAAAGGTTTTAAGGAGGCACCTAAGTTCCCTCTCTAGCTGATGTAGGTACTTCACTTCCCTCTGAATTGCTTTGAGATTCATCCCCTCTCTCCACTAAAGCAATGATTTGTTTGGATTGGGTCAATCTATAGTGGTTCAGATAACTCAGTTGTTCTTTTCTTATGCTCACTTGTGTTTTTTGTTTCCTGCCCACAGGAAGGCAGTCAAGGCAACGTTAGTTCTTCTGCCTCTGCTAGGCATCACCTATATGCTTTTCTTTGTCAACCCTGGTGAAGATGACATTTCCCAGATCGTCTTCATCTATTTCAATTCCTTCCTGCAGTCTTTTCAGGTAAGAGAGAAAGTTTACAGCTGGTATCAGCAGCTTCTGAAAGGATCCTCAGTGCTTTTCAGCCATGAAACTTATGGCAGTGATAGAAATATTAGTTGAAAATAGCTCAGCTTTGTTCATGATTGCATAATAGATATATAAGCATGTCGTATGGAGTGGAGATCTCCTCTCGGGTGCATACTGGAGGGATTCATCCCCCTTAACATCAGCACTATGTTCAGTCTGTAGCTGCAGCTCCTCACCTGAGCTCCATCTAAAGTCAATGGAGAGAGTGGTGATGTTTCATTCTGTCCTAAGCTGCCTGAGAGCAGATGATGAATCACCCTCCCAAGGTACTGCTCTCTTCACAAAGCACACAGTGAGCTAAAACTTAGACTAGATGTTGCTAAAACGAAGGGAAACAACTCCTACATGTTGGGCTCGCTTGATTAAGACGTTAGCTTTATTGCCCAGCCTCTCCCTCGAGCTCTCCTGCAATGGTGCATGCACTCAGCCATCAGACCATATCAGCTGAGAATTCATACCCTATCTCCCCCCTCCCCTGAATTTAATAGGAGTTCTGCCAGGATATAAAAGGCAGTGGAATGTGAGTAATTGTCCCAGATTTCTGGATTTGGAACAAAATCAGAAGTGACTGAAGACCTTAAATGATGTTTAGCCACACACTTCTGCTTAAGTGTGTCCTGCAGCTTTACCTGTGCTTAAAGACTTTCTCAAACTAGTCTGCAACTATGTTTTACCTTTAATATGTGCAGGAAAAAGCACTCTGATACCCAGGATATCAATACAAATATACAGCACACATGCTGTCAAACCAAATCTAAGGTTACAGATTACAAAAGTTTTGAGCTTCAAATTACTGCTTTTACTGATTACGTGTTTAGCTTTGAAACACAGAGCATCTCACCAGAAATTGCAACTGAATATCCAAAACAAAAAATGTCCCTTTTAATCTATGAACAAAGGAACTTTAGCCTATACCAGTGAACCAATCCACATTTTTCATTCCCTAAAATTGTATTTTTTATTTGCTGATACTCAGTGTCTCAAAAAATGCTACACTGCTTATTTTATTGTTAGTGTTATGAAGACATATGTAAGAAAGAAGGCACAGAGAACCTCTCCTTTATAATGACAATTATTACAGTCCATTGCTGAAAGCAAAATGGGTAGGATTCCACTCACAGGTTTAGAGATGAAAGTGTCATCATGTTGTCATCTGAGCTTCCATTACAGTCATTCCAATCTTTGCAGTCATTGCAGGGGTCTAGTCACTGCTGTCAATCGATTCCACAAAGCAATTCAGTTCAGATGAATGTAAGCAACCTGACAATACTCTTGCCCACACAAGACCATCTGTCCTGGTTTCATCTGGGATAGAGTTAATTTTCTTCTTAGTAGCTGATACAGTGCCGTGTTTTGGATTCCTTGCAAGAATAGTGTTGATATCACACTGATAGTTTAGCTGTTGCTAAGTAGCACTTATCCTAAATTAAGGATTTTTCAGTTTTCCATGCTCTGCCAGTGAGTGGGTGCACAAGAAGCTGGGGGGGGGGGGGAGGGGAGCATGGTCAGGACAGCTGACCCAAACTAGCCAGAGGGCTATTCCACATAGAATTTCCATAGAAACTGGGGGCAGTTGGCTGGGAGGGGCAGATTGCTGCTTGGGCATCTGCCAGCGGGTGGTGAGCAATTGCATTGTGCACCACTCTTCTTTTCTTGGGTTTTATTTCTCTCTCTTCTTGTTATATTCCTTTTCATTACTAGTATTAGTATGTGTTATATTTTATTCTATTTTAGTTATTAAACTGTTCTTATCTCAACCCATGAGTTTCACTTTTTTTTAGATTCTCCTCCCCATCCCACTGGGAGGGGGAAGGAGTGAGTGAGCAGCTGCATGGTGCTTAGTTGCTGGTTGGATTTAAACCACACCACCATCTAAGGCCATTTGACACCCCCTGTAAGTGTCTGAGACATCCGCATATAGCTGGCAGGCACAACAAAGCACCTGAGGAGTCTGTCTGGGGAGGCAGCTGGAAGCTGTAGATATGCTTTAGCACAGCTGAAGTGACAATCTCCTCTACCACTGGAAGGGCTGTCTGGATTCTAGCTCTCATGTCTCACCTGTAAACTGCAAGACACAGTATTTTCTCATGAAGTTGTAGGGTAAAGATTTGATCTGTCTAGAAGTGGATGATCTCAACAAGATTATGATTTTGCTCAGGATGATCCCAGGATAAAGCTCAGTCACTGATTCTGCATGTTAAAATACTTATCTAACAATTGACTGCTTTCTATTCTTTCCAGGGTTTCTTTGTGTCAGTATTTTACTGCTTCTTGAATGGTGAGGTAAGTAGTGTTCCCTGCTGTCAGTGTAATTAATAAGAGGTGGAACTTACTTGAATGCCTGATTATAGAGACATGAGATGTTTTGACATGGGGTCATAGTCCCATCAGTCTGTTGCTCTTGCAGAAGTTTCTGTTAATGCGCATCTGAGTTTCCCAGCCCTCTTTGTAAGTGCCCTTTGTTCTCAAAGCTTTATAAAATTCAGGTTATTACCCAGGAGATCAGGGCAGAGGAAAAGAAGTCTTCTCAGGTTGTAAAATTTTAGTTCTTCATTTTAAGACTTCTTTGAAGTTTCTCATTAGTTATAAATATGATTTCTGGGCATACATGAGCATTACTTCCGAACTGGGCTCCTGTTAAGGATATGCTGCAGGTGAGCCCTTTTTATAATGGGATTGTCATGCTGAGTTTAGTGAGTTAGTTTTACTGTGTGGATACCTATCTCTGCGTGGTCAATGCCTGCTGCATTCAGAAAAGAGGGTTGGGTCAGGGTCAGTGGTGTTCCTCAGCATTAGTTTTAGGTACTGCTACTCAAGCAAGAAAAGTTTCACTAATATCATTTAGTGTTTGACTTACACCCCAAAGTGTGAAAGATTTACATCTTTTCCCCTAATTACTCTTCCAGTGTCTTGTTTACCTGCATTTAAATGTGTCATCTTTGTCCAGTTAAAATTTGTGTCTCTGCAGAAATTAATTCCATATCTTAATTATTCCTGTTGTATTGGTATATACTTTGTTCGTGCTGCTGCTTAATTTAATTGTGGGCTGTGAGAAAGAATGGGCATGTCTTCTCACCCAGCTGCTCTGCTCCCTTTTCTATTCTTTACCCAATGAAGCACCTGGTTTTGGTTGTTTTTTTTTTTTTTTTGCTTTTCTTCATTTCCCCTCTTCCTCATTAATTCTGAGGTGATATTAACAAGAAGCAACATTGCTTTCTCAGGTTAGGCACACGCCAGTTTTATATACTGGCAGCAAAGCGTTCTCAATTCTCTTTCCAACTTTCTTTCAATAAATTCTGACCACTCCATTTGGCTCTTAATACATAGGGAGGTGAAATCTTCCACAGAAAGTACAGGCACTTTAACTGCGCAAGTGTCACAGTGAACATCAGAGGCTGGAACACAGGCCACATGAATTCATAGTCAGTTGGGAATTTTTTTCACCCTAGCACACCTCCATTTTGTGCACTTGGGCTAGGACCAGCTGGATGTTCATACCAGGCTTTCACTCTTTTGGCTGTTCTGGGATTCTTTCAGCTGTCTTGTAGTGGGAGATACATCCCCTTCACTACAGCAGTCTGAAGTTCTCCATCCAAGGCTGTGAGCCAACTTCCCATCTCCTGTAACTCAAATGAGCTCAAGCTTGTTGAAAGACAGCTTTCATCAGTTGATGTTTCACCTCATGTACTTCTGTGCCATGATAACAATCTACTAGCAGATCTGCAACAATTTCCATAACTGATTTTCCCAGCTGTATCACACTTCTGCTACAATTGGAATGGGTATTTCTGTGGGAGTCCATTCAAGGTTAAGACAGCCAACTTGGGTGATGTAGGTGGTCTTGATTCATTTCCCTAAACGTAGATATCTAGTGCTGCTTGAGAGGGTATAGAGTATCTGAGGCATCCACATGGGTCTACCAAATAATATACAGGATCTATAGAAGATTCACACCTTCTGACTGGGAAGTAGAAGCCAAGTGGAATACAATGGGTTTTCTCAAATGGCTCTCTCTATCATTAATTCAAGCAAGTCAATACAATCTTTTTCTCATCAGCTTAGCCTACAATAGTCACCTCCGTTTGCTCACCTGAACAACTCTAGTCTTCACTGACAGTATAAACTACCTCACCACTGACTATTATGCATGCCTAGACACTCTGCTCACATATAGATAGCTACAAATAGCTGAATTTATGAGCAGAATCTTCCCTGTAACAGTATGTTTACACCTAATGTGCAACTTCCACTTCACTAGCTAAGCCATGGCAACTTCCTACTTCTTTGAGGTATAACATAAGTCTAAACTCCCCAAATACTGCAGCATTGTCTTGAAACTGTGAAATGACTTTAGACTCATCTTAATGTACCGTAGGAAGGTTTTGAAATATCATAAAGGTGTTAAAGGGTGAAATTTCCTGCTCTGTTCTAGCTTCAGCTTAGCACATCTTAGAAACAAGTAAAAAATCCAGTGAATTTTCAGAGGTCTATGGATTTGTAATCATATTGTCCAGAAAAAAATTTGCATCTTATATTATGCTAATATAAAAGCTCTCCTTTGTAATAGTGCCTATCCTCCCTATATCTCCACATACTCATAGAGCATTCCAGAAAGAGCTTATGTTTCCCAAATCACATCCTGAAGGTCACATCACATCACATTGCAAAAGCTTGCAATAATGTTGTGTTTTACCTCCATGTTTAGTGAGAGGCCTGTACAGGCTACATTGATAACAGAAGCATATGTGGAGGCCTTGGTTGGCAGCCTAGAAAAAGTGTGTTTTCTTATTGTAATGTTCCATGCCTAAGCAGTGAAAGCCAGCTGATTTACTGCTCAGTTAGATTTGCAGTACACTCTTTTCCTCAATTATCTGCTACGAAGAAGCCTCTATTTCTTAGTGCATGTGAACCGCATCACATCAGAAGTACAGAAGTACCCAAATATCATTTTCATTCTGCTGACATCAGTTGCTCTCAGAGAGGCAGCCCTACTAGAAGTTATGGTGAAGGTAATACTACTCAATCCACATGAGGTACCAGCACTCTTAGCAAGATCCACAGCAGATTTTGCTCTAAAAGAGGAAAATAGCCTGTAAGTAGTAGCCTGAAATCTTTATAAATATCACTGAAGCCTTGTTGAATTATTATCTCTTCAGTGTGTCCGATATTCCTGTCTCCATGATAAATGGGCTGATAATTTGCTATCTCAGAAGGTTTTAAACGCTTTAGGTTTTCCAGTTATGACAGAGTTGGGTTCTTTAAATTCATAATAATAACCTTTAACAGGTTATTCATCCCACATAGTGCCAGGTCTGCTCCAAATGACACAAACAGAAAGCCTAGAAAATCCATTAATTTAAAGCTTTAATAATTCTGTGATCTCAGCTGCACCTCCACCATTTCATATTTGATACAGAGGCCACTAGGTACTTGAAAACTTCCAATAACTGTCTGTAGTAGAGCTCAAACAGTATTGATTGCAGATTAAAGTTATCAAAGTTTCTATCTTTTTGTCAGTGTTCTATCTGTGAAGCTGGCAAATGAAACAAAAAAAGAGAGGTTTTTTCTCTGTAACGTCTTGTAGCTTCCCTTGATTTATACAAACATGTCCTTATGATTTAAAGTGTTTCTCTTCTAAAGCTCTTTTACCCATCAGAGAAGTTACACAGCTGTGCTGCTTGAATAGATCTGATGTTCTAGTGAAGAAGGCAGAGCCTCCAGCACTCTAACTGAAGGGGGCACCTTGGTAATACAGGATAGCACCATAAAAGGTCTTGGTCCTGATTTTGCAGTGATTTGGTCTGACAGTTCAACAGTGGGATCACTGAAGGGAAAAGGTGAAGCTATTAAATTGCAATCCATGCAAAGAATTTCAAATGGGATTAGTTTATTTCCTTATGTTTTGGAGTGGACATTTGACCTGGGAGTACAAACATCTCTCTTTCCCTCATTTCCACAACACACGATGTTTCACACAGATAATGGACTAGCTTTGTTGACTGAGGTGAGAATTAAGCCAATGGGCCAGGTCTTGAGAGAGTGTGTATCATTCAGGCCCCTCTACTGGAGATATGATCCTTCAAAGTTTGAATATGAATATCTTTCCAAGACAACACATTATATATAAGTTATTCCAGTGAACCTAAGGAAAAGAAGCAATTTAGATACAAATTTAACAGTTTTTTATGGTTTATTGCTTCTGAAAAGTTCTGAAGCTGTTTTGAACAAACTGTGTATTCCATGGATGGGCATGAGAGACCATTGGCACTTGACTCATTAATTTCTCTAGAGACTTTAAGGAAAAAAAGTTGTATTTTTGGAAACAGAGAAAATCTACTAGCACTATAGGGCAAAAATACGTAAATTTCATTTAATCCGAGTGGTAAAGATCATCTCTGGACTTCCAAGAAAATTGAGGATAGGAGGTTTCTGAGAATTTAAGATGTTATAAAAAGTGACATGCTTAAAAATACATATGCATTTACGTTAAATGCCAATTAAAAAGAATGAATATAGGTTGTGAACTTCTTTTTCAATGACTGCAAAAATCAAGATGCTTCTCAAAACTCTTTCTGTCAACTCACAGATCACAAGACTGAATTTAATTTCACATAACACTGTATTAAAAAAAAAAAAAAAGTTTAAGATGGAGTTTTTTGGAACGAGGATAGATACAATGGCTTGAAACTGTGCTGAAGAGTGCATTTCCACAAAACTCCTGTTGGACAATTTTTGTTGAAGTTCATTAAAAAATCTTCAGGTTTTTACAGTTGAAGAAATTTATTCTACCTAGATCGATTTGCTTATAACAAAACAATAATGTATAATCAGGGATATTCTTTTATGGTATCTCATCCTTATGTAAGTTTGGATGAGTACAGATCTGTAGAAACCACTATATTATTTCTTCAGCCTCTATAGTACAATCTGATGAATTCTATCCAGTAGCTGAGCTTGATAGCATGTGTTTAATTAAAGCCTGCCTTTCAAAAGGATATCTGGTGTGGGATTCATCTCACGTGGTACCTCTGATTTTTTCTGACAATGATCTTGAGAACTGAATATTGGATGAAAACATCACTATCCCATCCAGGTCACAGCCAGACCTGAAACTGAGAAAAGGCTTAGTGAAGGTTACAGTCTTTAGGCATATGTAGAGTAGCCTTATAATTGTTTGTATGATATGAAACCCAGGAAAAACCTTCATTATAGTTTCAGTACCAAAAGAGGCTCACTGTTATTAGGCCAATGAAGACAATTGTCCCCTTTGGCTTTTCATAGGA